TTTGAGGTCCATCTATGTTGTTGCAAATGGCAGAGTTTCCTTCTCTTTTATGGCCAAATTGTATTTGTGTGTCTGTGTGTGTGTGAGAGAGAGAGAGAGAATGAGTGTGTATGTATCACATTTTCTTCATTCATCTGTCAACAGACACCTAGGTTGTTCCCATATCTTGGCTCTTGTGAATAATGGTGCTGTGAACTTGAGGGTTTAGGTACCGCTTTGACATAATGACTTTGTTTCCTTTGATTAAAGGCCTAGAAGTGGAACTGCTGGGTCATATGATTGTTCTATTTCTAATTTCTTGAGGAACCTCCACACTTTTCCATAGACGCTGCACCAACTTACATCCCACTCTAGGCTTAAGGAGCCACACGTAACTAGTGACTGCATACTCGCCCGCCCAGCCCCACAGCATCTCCTGCCATTTATTATTGTGTGAATAAACTCCTGAAAGCCTTCAAGAAAATAAATTATTGATTGTACAATGCTTAATTTTATCCTGGAAGAAAATTGCTCTTAGAGTGAAGTTCCAGTTGCTACAATAGTAGTTGATTTAGGGTCTGATGTTGGAGAGAGGGTAAGCTGTTGTTAGCTAGTGGGGAAAGCATGTTCCTGAGTGTAACACTGATTTTGTGAACACGCGTCATCATCTATGCATTGCTGGTGTCTATGCCTGTTGTATGTGTAACTCACGTGGACAGATACATGTCCTCTTAGGAGTCAGGTTGTCATTCGGGACTGAAGCTGGCCAGTGGGTTCTTAGAGTTGGAGCTGTCCGTCCAGCACTTCCTGCCCTAGGGGGCTTTATGAAGAGATGTTCATGGAGATCAGGTGAGACCCTTTTTGTCTTGCTTCCTTCTTGAGTGTCCCCAGGCACTTTTGGTTTCTTGTCCTAGAACCATCCAGGGGCTGGTGGCTTACAAACCTCTGGAACAATTTTTAGTTCATTAGATTGAAGAGGATTTGAAGGAAAAGAGGGTCTTCCTGAGCTTGTTAGCCTGAATAATTAGAAATGCCAGAAGATGCCTCGAGATGAGTCTCTGGGCAGAGTTCCTGGGATGAATGACCCCATCCTTTTCCCCTTTTCCAAAACACAGTAGAAGCTCTGGGCCGAGAGGGCCCCCAGCATTCTCCGTTCCTGCAACCAGAGCCTGGTGTGGCATGCAGGAGCCTGGGCACCCCTGTGAGTTTCTCTAGCAACTGAAGTCTCAGAATTGAGGCAGCTCACGATACTAGTTAGACAGCAAACGATACTAAATTCTCTGTCACAGGCAAAGTTCTACATGACTGAGCTTCCTAATTGAGGGCCCCATTTCTTGCATTATTTAAATCCATGTCATTGATTTTTGCAATCAGCTCTTCTCAGAATCACAGAATACTACAGCTGGGTGGAAGGGAATGGAGAAATGGTCATAATCCAGCCTTCTTAATTTAGACTGAAGGGAATGGAGGCCCAGAGAGGTTATGAGTTAAGGACACACAGTGAGTTCAGAGCTGGTCAAGAAAGTGCAGAGCTAGCCCAAGATGAGTGAGCCAGGCCTCCTGGGTTCTTGCATCACACAACCTCTCTTTTTCTTCTCCTCGACTCCTTGTTGTCTGTAGACTTCGGTGTGAACCACTGGCGGGGGTAGAGAGGGGTCAGAAACTGGACAGGTGGATGGAGAAAGAACATTTCAGATGCACAATAAGAAATATATTGATGCTCACTGCTTAGTTATGTTCTAAAATGTTGCTTCTTGCTGGTGTGCCTTGAGAATTCCAACAGAATATTCTGACCAGTGACACGTTGCTGCTCCCTTTTCATTATAGATTTTCGTATATTGTTCATGGATCTATGTACATGATTTAGCCACTGCACAACTGTTACTCATATTGTTAACTGGTTATTTTATTTTTTTTTATGGACAGTTTTGTTGAGATCAGTTTGCTTTCCAGCCACCAGACCTGTCTCTGGTGATCGACTCTGATCATCCACCTTTTTGCAACTTTCTTTTTATTTTTTAAATTAAAAATTTTCTCTCTCTCTCTCTTTTTAAAAGTATTTATTTAGCTGCCTGGGATCGTCGTTGCATCATGTGAGATCTTTTTGGGTTGCGGCTCATGGACTGTAGTTGCAGCACGTGGGTGGCATGTGAGATCTTAGTTCCCTGTCCAGGGATCAAACCTGCATCCCCTGCATTGCAGGGCAGATTCTTAACCATTGGACCACCAGACAGGTCCTGTGACTTATTTTCTTTAAATAGTCTGCCTCTCTTACTTTATCCCAAAAGTATTGAAATGTTCAGTGCTGTAAGTTTATGCTTCTGTGCACAAAATAAGCATTCTGTAAATGCTGGTTGAAAGCGTGAATGTCATCCCATCCAGATAGGTCTGAAGGTTAATTTCCTTTGCTTTTAACTACAGTGGGTGTGGTGGTGGGGCGGGGGGTAGGATTCTATAGTTTAGGAAGAATATTAGCTGTAAAATCTTTTTTCCCCTTCTCGTTTGAATGGAGTCTTTAGCAAACGATTCACATGTGCACCAAAAATCTGGGAGAGGCTGGCTAAATTGAATGTGGGGTTATTGTTTGTGTCCACAGAACAAAGCCCTAAATCACATTTAGCATAATGTGTGGTTTTAAATTGGACTGATTTAGCAAGGAGAGTGAAATAATCTCTCATCCTGTCAAAAAAGGCGATACCTTCGGACCAGCATTTAATTGCATTGGCAAAGTAACTTCGGGAAAGCGGCAGTAATTCTGGCTGCATTATTCTTGGTTTGTGGTTAAATTGAGATCATCATTTTCTCCTGGTTGCCCTAACTTTCTTTATTGCTCTTCGAGCTAATCAGATGGATGCGGGGAGAGAAGCTTAGTGGTAGCTGGAGGGTGAACGGGGAAAGAGTGAGGTCTCTGAGCAGGGCTGTAGTCCTCTGTCGATTCGCACTTGACACACTTCAGGGTCCAGGTAGAGAGAACAAATAAATGAACACCTCTAAATCCAGCAGGCACAGTCTGATGAATTTCCTTGTGGTCATTTATGCAAAGTGAATACGATCCATTCCTGAAAAGTATGTTATGGAGGACACACCTAAACATGTGCTTTTGTAGCCAGATCCTACAGTTAGGGCTTGTCTGCATTCCTCTTGGCACTGGGGAGTGAGGTGCTGGAGGAGTTCCCAGTTGCCTCAATGATCCCATTAAAGCCTACCTTTTTATTGCCATCCCCACAACCAGCCTCTTCAGTAACCAACTCATCCACGCCTTGCTCATTTTCCATCTGGACCACTACCTCTTCCCAGCTGTCTTCGTTCAGACTAATTCCTCTTCTCCACAGTCCCTTCCTCTAGCAAACGTGTGTCTCTGAACTTGTACCAAGCCTCTAAAAGTAATCAGGTCATCGATACCTTAGACATGTTATAAAGCTGAAAATGATGACTCAGCTGTAATGAGCTCTGTGCCTGCCACCTTACTTCTGTTCCCCTGGGAGTTATTCACTGGGGTTCTTGGTATGGCTGTCTTCTTATATATCTCAGGTGTCTGGGGACTTCCCTGGCGGTCCAGTGGCTAAGACTCCACACTCCCATTGCAGGTTTCCCAGGTTTGATCCCTGGTTGGGGGACTAGATCCCACAAGCTACAACTAAAGATCCTGCATGTTGCAACTAAGACCTGGTGCAGCCAAATAAATTAAGAAACCAAACAAAAAACCTGAGGTGTCTGTCTGGAATGTTACACACACCTTGGCCTTGGTTTTCAGCAACGTTGTCCCCAGGTTTCTCCAGTTTTCTGGGGCACCCCTGGAGGAGGATGTTGAGATGGGAAGAAAATGCACTAACAGAAGACCTAACAGTTTCTTCTGTGGTACCCAAGACCCTTGTCCATAATTTCAGTTACCTGAATATTTTGGTATTAAGAGCTTACATGAACTGTGAATGAGCTGGTGGCCAGTAACTAATGTTTGTGGAGAGACTGAATCAGCAGATGAGATACATGAAGTATAATACATTGAATGTCCTGCTGCTGCCAAGTGAGACTTAGTATTTTTGTGGTAAAGATGCCTTTGGCTTTTAAATTTGTATTTGCAAGTATATACTGTAGGGAAGGGGAATGCTTTCAGCTCCCCAGTCACTTTCTTTAACCTTTGATATGCACACTCATGTCCACCGTCTTGCTACTGAACTGATTTTTCATATGCCTGAATAACAACAATGCGGTGATCAGTTGCTAATCTGATAGAAGGGGTGTGTGTGTGTGTGTGTGTGTGTTGATTGAGATGCAAAGGCAAAAATCAGAAACTCGGTAGGTTGACTGTTTTATCATGTAAGATTGAATTTAAACATCATCACATCATCTTGATTTAGTCAAGTGTTAGGAGAACAGCTCTTCAGATAGCAGATTATTTAAACAGCTTGATGATACATTACTTGGGAAGGGATTTTGGACTTTGCTGACTTTCTTTTGGAGATATGAGGGAAGTAGAAGGAAGAAAACAACTGGACTCGGTAGACATTACATGATTTTAAAAAATATAATTTTACATCTAGGAGAGTAAATGCTAATAGTTCTCATCACAAGGAAAAATATTTCTTTTGTATTTTTATGAGATGATAGATGTTCACTAACCTTATTGTGATAATCATGATGTAAGTCAAATACTTAGGGTGTACACCTGAAACTTACATAGAGCTATATGTTGATTATATCTCAATAAAACTGGAAGGAAAAAAAAATTCAAGAAGTATAGAATGTTCTGTAATGTTCGCTTAGAGACTGTTCATGGCACAGCTTTTCTCTTCTGTCCTTTGAGGAAACATTTCCATGTGAACTCAGTGGTAAGCTACTACCTAAGAAACTACCTACAGAAATTAAGTAAGATATATATATATATATGTGTGAGTGTGAATAAAGTGATTGTGCTGGAGTTTCATCTTCCTCTCATTTGAAAAGAAAGCAAAATGTGTCGCTGGCATTTGCTGCCAGGGGCAAGGTTCCTGCATTCACACTCAGCGTTTCTGTTTCCACAGCTGTGCCACCAAACATAGCAGAATTGAAGAATCTGGAAGTGCTTAACTTTTTTAATAACCAGATTGAGGAGCTGCCCACACAGATCAGCAGTCTTCAGAAACTCAAACACCTGAACCTGGGGTGAGTCTCCTGGAGGGAGAGGAAAACAGGAGGAGGAGGAGCTGGAAGCTGGGATGTGGGTGGGAGCAAGGGAGGGTTTTGCCATTTACAGGAGCAGCAGATCTCTAATTTTTCCCCATGTTTTAGGTTTTTAAAAAAGTTTTATTGTTTTAATACATCCTTTCAATGGCCTACATTAGTGCAAATCTATCTGTGTGCTAATTGAGAAGCTAATTGTTGGTGCAATAAGGGAGTTTATTTTTACTGTATTTTGTTTCCAATAAAATTTTGTTTCCATTATGTTGCCCGAGAAGGAACCCATTTGCATAGCTAGCTTGAACTGTACAGGCCAGTTGTAATATGGTTGATTTTTTTTTTTTTCTCTCTGTATTGAGTAGAAATAGTGTCCAAAGCACCTTCCTTCTATGGAGGGGAGGATATGCTTCCTAACACTACTTCATTGATTCTTAACAATTTTTCCTTTTTAGTTTTGAGAAGTTATCAATCCTGTATCTGTCTTTATACAAAGGTGAAGAGAGGAGTTTTGATTCAGCCAAGGTTACAGAACCAGGTTGCAGTGAATAATAGTAAAACTTTGTGTTCTTATGTTGCAGCTTTCAGAGTCCTCACACCAGTGTTTGACCCTCTTAACAGTTGGGAATGGGGAAGGGCAGGCATTATGGATTTCTTTGTGTGGAAGGAAGCCAAGCCTTTCTCAAGAGGTTAAGTGGCTTGCTCCTGATTGGCCCTCAGGTTAGTGGCTGAGCAGACAGAGAACCCCACTGTCCATGAGACACCATACGCGCCCCCCCAGAACTCGGACTTCCGAATTCCAGCTTCAGTGTTGAGCTATTATAGGAGACTGCCTGCTCCAAGCCTCATCCTCCATGTAAAGCAATATATCATTAGATTTTAGCCATAAACACTGTGATTCAGCTGGTGATTTACATGGAGTGGCTATAGATGCTGTCCAGGTATTTGTCAATTTACTAGGAAGCAATCTTGGAAAAAAAAAAAAATCATTCATGGACTGATTTTTAGTTCATGTTTTTACACCGGAAATATGGTCAGACTCTCTTCATTTGCTGTTCACTCCAATTGAGAGACCATCTTTGTAAGACCTGTGAGCATTCTTTTCTCAGTGTCTGAGAGGAAGTAGGGTTTAGAAGAGGGGAAAAGTCACCTGATATCAGACAGTTTTCTCTTATAAATACGGAGACTGTACCCATCTGGCAAACCAGAAAAGAAAGGCTCCTCGTTTATATCTCTGTTTTGAAAGATTAAGTCCTAATATTTCATTTGCATTTAAGAAGGAAGCTAAAACAAGACATATATAATGGGTTGGCCCAAATGAACTTTTCTGCCAACCCAGTACTAGACATGTATTCTTACTATTAAATTCTTTATTATTTACTAAATGAGTTGATACATATAAAGTACAAGAGAACCATCTAGGTCCGAGATGGCAGACAAGTTGACTTTCATTAGACCTGGAGCCTCAGTACGTGCTCATTTTAACACATCATATAAATGACACACACATAGGTACCGTGATAGTTCCTAGGTGGACCATAAAAGGTCAAAAAGTGGGTGGTGGCCCAGTTTCTGGAAATCCATGCCCCTTACCCAAAATAGTTGGGATAATCCTCCCATTCATTGGTGTATGAAATTGACCACCCCAATGAAAACTGATAACCCCGTACCCTGGTGCCTCTTGACCTCTGAGATGCATGGCCCACACTCTTGTCTGTGGAGTACATATCTCTCTGAATAAACATTCTTTCACCTAAAAAAATGGTGCTAGGCGTTGTATCTGGCACATTTATCATCATCATTGTTTTGTTTATAGATTCATTTATCTTGGGACTATGTAAGTGCCTTTTCTACATGAGAGCCTTGCTCGTTTGAAGATCAGTGATGAATGTCGCAGCCTTAAGGATGGGGGCAGAGCAGCTGTCAGCAGGGAAGTGTGCAGCTGGCTCGCTGACCTGTGGGAGGTTGTGAGGTGACGCTGGGAGAAAGGGGCCAGGAGCATGTTAGCCTATAGGTGAGGTTCTTGGAAAGATTTCTACAAGGGGTCGCATTAGAGCTGAGACTCTGATACTGAGATAACTGACAGGTAGAGTGCAACACCTCTGATTGTGAGAAGGACTTATTTAAAAGCTCAGTCTGTGCATACAATGGAATATTACTCAGCCATAAAAAGGAACAAATGTGAATCAGTTTTACTGAGGTGGATGAACCTAGAGTCTGTTATAAGTCAGAAAGAGAAAAATATGTATTAACATATATATGGAACCTAGAAAAATGGTATTGATGAACCTATTTGCAGAGCAAGAATAGAGACACCAGCATAGAGAACGGACTTGTGGAAGGAGAGGGTGGGACGAATTGAGAAAGTAGCATTGACATATAAACACTACCTCATGTGAAATAGGGAGCTAGTGGGGAGCTGCTGTATTACACAGGGAACTCGGCTCCATGCCCTGTGATGATCTAGAGGGTGGAATAGGGGCTGGCGTGGAAGGGAGGCTCAAGAGGGAGTGGACATATGTATAGTTATGACTGACTCGTGTTGATGTATGGCAGAAACCAGCACAGCCTTGTAAAGCAATTATCTTCCAGTTAAAATAAACTAACAAAAGATAGAAAGCTCAGAGCACCACCTGTTCCAGGTGCTGCAAGTTTCATGGTGTCCTGAGTGGAAAGTGTAAGGCGGCAGGAGGTAAGGGCAGGCAGAGAAGCATGGAGTCTGCTGTGCATTCGATGAGTGTTTCTTGGGCTCTCTGTTCAGGCGCTGGCCATCCAGCCCTCAGGGAACCTGTATCACAGTTGGGGAAACAGCCTGTAAATAAGTAAATGTCCACTGTGGCAGGGAGTCGAGTGCTAACGGAGGGCCTTGTGTGTCAGATAAAGGAGCTCTGGTCTTAACCTGATGACCTTTGGGGAGCTGTCACCGGGAAGTGGCAGGTAAGATGAACGATCACGTGGAGGAGAAGTTGGACGAAACCCACCAGGTTAGCGTTCCTGGTGAACCAGGGTAGGAACAGTGAAGGTGGGGAGGGATTTTATATGAAAAGCAGAAACAAGCGGTAAAATTCATGAGGCGATACGGATGGACGAAACCCACGAGGTTAGCGTTCCTGGTGAACCAGGGTAGGAACAGTGAAGGTGGGGAGGGATTTTATATGAAAAGCAGATACAAGTGGTAAAATTCATGAGGCGGTACGGATGGACGAAACCCACGAGGTTAGCGTTCCTGGTGAACCAGGGTAGGAACAGTGAAGGTGGGGAGGGATTTTATATGAAAAGCAGATACAAGTGGTAAAATTCATGAGGCGGTACGGATGGACGAAACCCACGAGGTTAGCGTTCCTGGTGAACCAGGGTAGGAACAGTGAAGGTGGGGAGGGATTTTATATGAAAAGCAGATACAAGCGGTAAAATTCATGAGGCGGTACGGATGGACGAAACCCACGAGGTTAGCGTTCCTGGTGAACCAGGGTAGGAACAGTGAAGGTGGGGAGGGATTTTATATGAAAAGCAGATACAAGTGGTAAAATTCATGAGGCGGTACGGATGGACGAAACCCACGAGGTTAGCGTTCCTGGTGAACCAGGGTAGGAACAGTGAAGGTGGGGAGGGATTTTATATGAAAAGCAGATACAAGCGGTAAAATTCATGAGGCGGTACGGATGGACGAAACCCACGAGGTTAGCGTTCCTGGTGAACCAGGGTAGGAACAGTGAAGGTGGGGAGGGATTTTATATGAAAAGCAGATACAAGTGGTAAAATTCATGAGGCGGTACGGGTGGGACGGTGGAGCTGAAATAGATGTCTAGAGACAGCTTTGGGGAGGAGGGAAGGGGCCTAGGCTTTGTTCGGTTGAGTTCAAGGTGCTTCAGGACAGAGTTGTAGACTTTCCTTTTTCATCAAACACTTTTGAGTTGCCTCTTTGTCGACTTTGGAGCTGTTTGCATTTTTGGCTCTTGCTGATTTATTTATTGTGTGACACTCTGGATTTAATTACCTAGCTGCATGGATGGGGTTTTCAGAGTTTGAACCCAGTTCCTAGTTCTCTGGGAGAGGGATTAAGAGAGGTTTCTGTAAATGGTACTTTTTTCCTCAAATGGCATGAAGAATTGTATCTGTGCAGCCCTGGTTAAGGCAAGGCTTAGAGAAGGACTCAGAATAAACAGACAAAAAAAAAAAAAATACAGCAAAGCAGTTTGGCCACATGTAATCCAAGCTTCATGTTCCGCCGGAAGTTGATTTTGAAGTTTTATATCCAATTTGCTATTTATTCTGATTATCCCAAAACCAGAGAGGATTTTAGACCATCTGAATAAATAGAAGGAAGCGGAATGATGCCCTTCATTCTTCCATTGTGTCATTCATTGTGCAGAGTTATTTTTATTTTATTAAAAAGGTGTAAAGTCACATAGGTTACAAGTTGGTAATTATTTTGGGTATAACCTCATGGCAAGAGCATCATGCCAACTATTCTGGGATAACTTTTTTTTTGCTATGTTGCTTGGCATGTGGGATCTTCATTTCCTGACCAGAAATCGAGCCCCAGCCCCCTTCTTTGGAAGCACGGAGTCTTAACCACTGGACCACCAGGGAAGTCCCTAGAATAACTTTTTTGTTTGTTTGTTTGTTTTTCCTGGAATAACTTTTGACGTTTTGACCTAGTTAGATGAAGGAGCTTATCTTATGAAGATTTAGAAGTTTTCACTGAGCACAGTGTTGACTGTTCATGGTTTTTGTTTTTGTTTTGTTTTGCTAAGTGTGTGAGCAGGTAGCTGGGGAGGTGAGAAAAAAATCTGCTCGCCCAAGAGGACCTCTGGAGATCAGTGTTCCAAAAGACAAGTGTTCAAATGGGCCTTCCTGTAGCTTTTGAAGAGGAAAACGGGGGAAAATGCCAGACATCCTTTGACTCTGGTTTTATCAAGTTCTCCATCATATGTGGGCATCTTCGCATTCCATATGCATTTGAAAAACGTTCACCTGCAAACAGAACTTAAACCATTGGTCATGGTTGAGTCATCGGTAGCTTTATCTTCTAACACCTGAATTGATTGGAGAGTAAGTAGATGAGGAAGCCATCCTTGATGGTTCAGGCTTCACAATGGTCTCCTTAGGCAAGCTCATCTCTTTGAGGCTTAGTTAGAATCTCTCTCCAGCTTCCTGAAAAGCAGTTGTAGTTACAGCCGTCATTCCTTGAGAACCTACCTAGGAGCCAGAAATTGTTTCAGGGGCTTCCCATGTCTTCTCTCTCCACTTTCTAGTGGTCCTTCTGGGAAGGTATCGCTGTCCTCATCTTCAGTTCAGTTCAGTCCAGTCGCTCAGTCGTGTCTGACTCTTCACGACCCCATGGACCACAGCACGCCAGGCCTCCCTGTCCATCACCAACTAACTCCCGGAGTTTACTCAAACTCATGTCTATCGAGTCAGTGATGCCATCCAGCCATCTCATCCTCTGTCGTCCCCTTCTCCTCCTGCCTTCAGTCCGTCACAGGATCAGGGTCTTTCCTCAATGAGTCAGTTCTTTGCATCTGGTGGCCACAGTATTGGAACTTCAGGTTCAGCATCAGTTACAGCATTCATCTTACAGTTGAGGAAATCGGGTCTCAGAGAAGCTGAGTTACCCAAGGCCACCCAGTCAGCGAGCGCTGGAGCTAGACCTCCACCCTAGCTCTGTTCTACCCTCTCTGGGCATCCTTGCATGCTGGAGCTCTCAGGGGATGCCCTGAAAAGAGGCAGCCCCCACGTGTGATGGAGATGGATGTTGATGATCCTTACAGGGGAAGGCAGCACATGACACCTGTCAGTACCGGGGAGCCAGCCCTTCGTCTGCTGGTGTCCAGAGGAACAGGTCCTGTGGCTCCTGATACTGGCGGTAGCTGAGTTGACCCTGCTTTCAGACCTTCCCGGTGCTTTAAGTTAGGGCTTTCTTTCTGCCCTCTGGATTAGCAGGCCCAGTGCTGTCACCACTGCTGACTGCTGAGGACTCTGCTGAGTCCCTAACACCTTGGTTTCTTGCTCAGGGAATAAAAAGAACCTGCAGTGTTGTAGATTCTTGACATGCACAGGTGGACTGGCTCGGGCTTGCTGTAGGCTGGAGAGTGGACGAGACCTATCTTTTTGGTGAGATGCCTCTTCCCACGAAGAAAGTCTGAAAGTGGATTTCTTGCACCTTATGTTTCAAAAGTGTACTTCTGGGTTTAGAAAGAAAAATTTTATTGGTCATTTTCAAAAATGGGTAACTCAGAGCAAGATTTAAGGAAGGAAGCGCTTGCTGTATACTTCTGTGCCTTTCTCTTTGTCTCTGATTTCTTTCCTTCAGTTTACTTAGCATCCTCACATGGGGGTCCAGGAATCAGGGGTGCCTTGGGGCTGGGGGCTCTTAGATACCTGTCATTCTCATCAGGAGAGTCAGAGGTCCTTGGTGCTAAACCTGCGTTAACCTGACCCTCCATTGCCACGTTCCAGAGATCATTATAAGTACTGTCCTGCCTGCATTTCAGTTTTGGAGACCCCATGAAACACTTGACAGTGGTGTGCTTCACAAATTGTGAATTCACAGAAAATATCAGTTATTAGGGCTTCCCCGGTGGTACAGTAGTAAAAACAAAAACAAAAAAACCCCACCTGCCAATGCAGGAGATGTAAGAGATGCAGATTCAATCCCTGGGCTGGGAAGATCCCCTGGAGAAGGAAATGGCAACCCACTCCAGTAATCTTCTCTGTGAAATCCCATAGACAGAGGAGCCTGGTGGGCTCCAGTCCACGGGATTGCAAAGAGCTAGACATGCCTGGGCACAGCACAGCTGCAGCAGCGATTTAGCAAACTCTACTGGAGGTTAATTTGCTAACTGTGAAGTTAACCTAAGACTTCATACCCATCCAGAGGTGGGCATCACTTTTTTCCTGGGTTTCTCTCTGCTCTCAGCTGTTTCCTACGAGGCCTGGTTGGTGGGTTTGAATAGGATTGTGTGTTATGTGAAAAGGATTGGTGTCTAGATTTATGTTTGGTGTCACAGTGCCCCCCCCTTCAGTATTTGTCATTCTATATTATTAAAAATTTTTTAAAAATCATATTTTAAGTATATTGAAAGGGAATAACATTAAGAAAAATAAGAGTCTTACAAATGGAACATAATAGAAAAATATGTTTCTTAGCTTTCCTTAGCTTTCATTGGAAATTGTGTGTGTGTGTGTGTGTGTGTGTATTTAAGGGCTTCTCTGGTGGCTCAGATGTTAAAGAATCCACTGTGATGCGAGAGACCCAGGTTCCATCTCTGGGTCGGGAAGATCCCCTGGAGAAGGGAATGGCAACCCACTCCAGTATTCTCGCTTGGAGAATCCCAGGGACAGAGGAGCCTCAGCCATGAGGTCATGAAGAGTCGGACATGACTGAGCAACTAACACTTTCACTCTTTACATATATATTAAAATTTTTTCAATTGTGGTATACAATACGCATAACGTAAAGTATACCATATTTACGTTTCTGTGATTCAGAAGCATTAAGTGTATTCCCACTGTTTTGCAACCTATCTCTAGAAGGTTCTTGTCTTGCCATACTAAAACTCTATACCCATTAAACAATTCCCCATTCTCCTCCTCCCACCCTACCCCCGGTCCCTGGTAAACTTGATTCTGATTGGAGATGGTTCTGAACTACTATCAGTAGTTGCAAAACAAAACAAAAAAAAGTTATTTTTCTTTTTTTTTTGGTCTCCCATTGGGAGGAATAAGCAAAATCAAATAAAACAGAAGTCTGAAAACTATGAGACTTCACATGTATCTTCTGAGGTCTTATCATTGCTACACTTACAAAGAAGTTTTTCTCTAGAAGGACAGATGCTTTGTGATGTGTTTGTTTTCTGTGTAAAACAGTGTTGGAACACCACCATTGGAAAAAGTGATAGCTAAGGCATTTTCAGATGTTTCATGGACTTGGAAATCACCTGTCTAGAATTACTAGGCTGGTAAAAATAACATAAACTGAATGGGATTATGGCTGGGTTTTCTGCTTTGAGACCCTCACAGGTGACTCTGAGACTCTGCACACAGAGGTGATCTGAGCAGTCCATATACGTACATGTTTTGTGTGTGACATCTTATGTTTTTACCCCCAACAACAGCATGAATAGACTAAACACTCTGCCTCGAGGATTTGGATCGCTTCCGGCTCTGGAGGTCCTTGATTTGACTTATAACAACTTGAATGAAAATTCTCTTCCTGGAAACTTCTTCTACCTGAGTAAGAAATTTTTAATCCTATAAATCTCCTTAAAATGGTCCTCTGCATTCTAAAAGGGAAATTTATTTGCCAGGTTCCAAACTCCAAGAGAAATTATTGGACATATATATTCTTTTTTTCCTTCAGATTCCTTTGAATGTTCCCTCATAGCTCAGCAGTATGTATATTTGATAAATCATGATCTAACACCATTGCACTCAAGTGGACTTGGTAATGTCATATTAACTTTATGATAGAGATTTTTGCCTAAATGAGATCGCCTCACATTTAGCTAGAGAGCTTGACTGTCTTTTTAAAGAACATGCCAAAAAAATTATATATATTTATATAGGTGTGTAGTATGTGACTTTCTCATGTGTTGCTATTAATTCTTTGTAGGCTTTTTGCCCAAAAATATTCCAATGAGTTACTTACAAAAATATACATTAATAAGCCACTAACCAAATTTTAAACATTTCTAGCTAGGATTCTTGTTATAAGACTTTTAAAAAGTATTCTTATTGACATAATGTTTTATCTATAGCATATCATCAGAGACTAAGAAATCATCAGTCATAGATGAACACACTTTATCCTCTTATATGCAAACACATTTCTTACTGCAGATGCTTGTGAAAGGTAGGAAAAAGTGATTTTTCCAAGAACTCATAAAATATTTAGGATAGAGTGTTGTCCTTATGTGAATGTTGTTTTTCCAAATAGTGACATAGCTGGCATCCAGAAATTCTGATTTTTCTGAGTTAGTCTCTGTAAAGTTTCATTTTTTTTTTTTTTAACCTTCCATAAATACTTTATCAGGGCTTCCCTGGTAGCTCAGCTGGTAAAGAATCTGCCTGCAATGCAGGAGACCCCAGTCTGATTCCTGGGTCTGAAAGATCCCCTGGAGAAGGAATATGCTACCCACTCCAGTATTCTTGGGCTTCCCTGCTGGCTCAGATGGTAAAGAATCACCTGCAGTACGGGAGACCTAGGTTTGATCCCTGGGTTGGGAAGATCCCCTGGAAGAGGACATGGCAAGCCACTCCAGTATTCTTGCCTGAAGAATCCCCACGGACAGAGGAGCCTGGTGGGCTACAGTCCGTGGGGTCACAAAGAGTCGGACACAACTACGAGATACTGCGAGATTAAACACTGCACATATTCTTTATCCCAGACTTTGTCAGGCCCAGGAAACCAACTTTAACATGTTTTCATGGGCCATGGGAGAAACTGTTTATCTTATGTACATTAACATACAATTCTGTTGAATTTTAAGACATTAGAATGTAGTTTAATCCCTGTAAACAAATAAAACTACATCTAATTATACTCCCTCCTTTTGGTTAAGGATAAAATGATGCCTTAGGGTTTTACCCTTCAGTAGTTTAGGGACTGATATCCTTGTATAATATTGTAAACCTGCCTAAGTTAGGGTTTTCTCTGTTTTTAAATTCCACTGCATTATTTTAACTCCTTCGTCTTCATTTATTTTTGTGGTTAAGGCTATAGAAACAAGTGATAATAATTAGTCTGATGATGGAAGCAATGAACTATGATTCTGACCTCCATCACGAGGAAGACTTTTGGTTCTTTATTTTTTGACCTAGTTCTCTACACAGCTGAGCCCTTTTGCCCTGAGCGTTGATATAAATGACACAGTGATTTTCTTGGTTTCACTCTGGATGCAAATCGAGCCATACAGGTGAATCAGAAGCAATTGAAGAAAAATAGCTATCTTTTCTGAAAGCGTATTGAAACTCTGTGCCAGAAGCTGCCAGTGCCCACGAGTTGTTAATTATATCAGTCCTCTTGGATATAGATATTTTCCTGAACACACCAGCTACACAGTAAGCCAGTAAATCTAAGTTTGACCTGCTGGTTCTTATCGCGAGCCCTAGGTGTGTCACAGGCTTTTCACCACGCCAGGGTTATTAATCAAAGCTGACTCCCACGTATTGATCAGACCTCAAATGGTTGGGTTCCATGCCACCCTGTTTATATATTGCTGTTTAATTTGCAGCCACCCTGCGTGCACTCTATCTAAGTGACAACGATTTTGAAATCCTGCCACCAGATATCGGGAAACTCACAAAGTTGCAGATAGTAAGTAATTTATCTAAATTCTTAGAAAATCAATTCACTCCTACAGCCCTTGTAGGAGTGGAATCAAGGCAATTTGAGCCGGAGTATGGTTTGTTTTGCAGGAATAAAAGCCACTGCTCCCCGAGACTGTTCATTGCTTGTCTGCAGACTTTTGTAAATAAATTGGAAGGATTGAGCCTTCGAGGAAGAGAGGGCAAGGGCGAGGACGAGGGCCTCTGCTGAGCGTCTCTTTCTGTGAAAATTGTTTTGACACCCCCTTGTTTCTCTTCTATTTAGCTCAGCCTTAGGGATAACGACCTGATCTCGCTGCCTAAGGAAATCGGGGAGCTTACTCAGCTTAAGGAGCTCCACATTCAAGGGAACCGCCTGACCGTTCTGCCCCCAGAACTAGGTAAGGTGGCTGATGAATGAGCTGAGTTCTGGCTTTAATTATTAATAATGATCCCAGTGCAGCAACTCTGAAAACCCCTCTCTCCTCTTTTCGGCGAGAACCTTCCCCCTGGGCACCCAGTTCTCATCCTTTCTAGTAGCATTTGTCACTGACACGAGTTGCGCTGCTCTGGGTTTGACCTGCCCTGAGGCTCTGTTGAGCACCTGCAACTCCGAGCATCTTGGCACTGCTGATGGCAGATGACCAAGCCTGGCTGCCTGCCTGGAGTCGTGGGAAGAGCCTGGCATGAGGAGTAATGGTCTTACCCAGGGCTCCTCCTTTACGGGTGGTGATGATGGCTTTTTTGAAAGGAATCTTATCAGTCATTTTTTTGATCATTTAGTTTTCTATCTTAATCCCTTGAAAACTTTTTATCATCACATAGTTACAGTATTTATGACAGTTGCTTAAAACTACCGTTTCCATACATGAGTTTGGTTCTCTCCTGATGCCGTCTTCAGTGGGAATGGTTACATGTTTTCTTATTGGGAAGTCCTTGGTCCTCCTGCCGTGGCCCCTGTGACTTAATAGGCCGTCTGGTCATTCAGAGGGCCCAAGGTGACCTTATGACCTTCCTTGGAAGTAACATTCACACAAGTTCCTCTGTTATTGAGGTTATGCTGCTGTTCTAGAAAAGCTTCGTGAGTTCTCCTGTCTTGTCTTGTGGACACTCTGGATGTCCTCTCATTTCTTTAGTACATTGAACTGTATTGTTTCTCAAACTATGACTGTTTGCTTTTTTGCTCCAAAATAGCATGCTTTTATTTACTTGTTTATTGCATTTTATTGAAATATAGTTGATTCACAATGTTGTGTTAATTTATCCTGTATGGCAAAGTGATTCAGTGTTTTATATATATATATTCTTTTTCATGTTCTTTTCTGTTATGGTTTATCACAGGGTATTGACTATAGTCCCCTGTACTATGCAGTAGGACCTTGTTTATCCATCCTATATGTAATAGTTTGCATCTGCTAACCCCAAACTCCCACTCCGTGCCTCTCCTGCCTGCCTTTCTTGGCAACCACCATCATGTTTTCTGTGTCTGCAGAATAACACAACTTTAAAAAACACATTTGACCCAGAAATTCTTTGAGGAAGTATCTCAAATGAGTGGTAGTTATGAGGCCAGTTGTTATTAATGAGCATGTGAGAAAGGGGGTATATATGTGTTCCTGCTCTGTCCCCAGCACCTCCCACATGCTGGGAACAAGGGAACTTCTCGAGAGATAAGTACTGAATGAGGTAATGATACGAAGACCTCAGATAGCAAGGTGTTGGGAAGGCTACAAGCGGGCCGAGTCCAGCTTCTGTCCAGAGCTGTGCAGGAGAAGCCGTGAGCCCCACTTCAGATGTTCATGTGACTCCCTTTTGGGAAGATGCAGACACAGACCGTTACCATGGGCAGAAAGCTCTGTCGGGCAGCGTTAGTCTAAAGGAAAGGCATTCACTTGGCTCCGCTGAACAAATACACAGTTCCACCCCAGGTTCCCCAGCTTCTGCAGCACCTTTGTTGCTATACAAGGTCTTGAGGAATTTGTACTGATTTCATTTCCTTTATTTTTGGCTGTGCTGGGTCTTCATTGCTGCAGGCGTTGCTGCTGGGTCTAGTTGTGGCGAGGGGGGCTCCTCTAGTTGCAGTGCTTGGGCTTCTCGTAGAGGTGGCTTGTCTCGGAGCATGGGCTCTAGAGCTTGAGCTCAGTAGCTGTGACACAGCGGCTTAGTTGCTCCACAGCACGTGCGATCTTCCCAGACCAGGGATCGAACCTGTGTCCCCTGCATGGCGGGCGGATTCTTAACCACTGGACCACCAGGGAAGTCCAGTTTGTACTGATTTTAAGTGCTGCGGAGTAAGTTGGCACTGACTCTTTGCTGGATTTTGACTTGCCACGTCCTGCTTTTAAGGAACAGGCTACAAGATCAAGAGATGTTAACAGTGTTTTTAAGGCAAAAAGTCTTCTTGCCAAAAGAAAGTTTCTGGACAGATATTTGCCAACCACAGATACTGGCGTTAGGGATTCACAGGAAGCTTTTGCAGGATGCAAATACCTGCTCCCTCCCCAAAGTACTGATCCAAATCTCCACCTGTGAGACTAACTCTTGTATGATTTAGTAAAATTCACTTAGTGCTTCTAAAGTCTGTCCTTGATTAGTGTGACAAGGAGAAATTTTTAAAAAAAAAGGTTTGTTTTATTTCATTTTTCAAGCACTGAGGCAATATAGGGTATTGGATTAATTAGTGATTTCTATCAGCTAAAAATTTGGTAGAAAAATACCTAGTTAAACCCACACATACCTGCCTACCTGTATATTTTAAAATGTCACATTGATCTTCCTATTTAAATATCACACATAGTCACATTTGCCTAACACTTCTGTTATGCTCTCCAATACCAAATAATATATATTTTTTATTCAGGGCTAGGGTTGAGGAGAAAGTCTTTAAATGAGTTTGTATTTGCTAGCCATACCTGGCAAAACTTGGTCACAGCATCTTTCTGGTGGCAGTTTTCCCGAACTGCAGGCAGACTCTTAGCTGGAAATAAATGGTAAACCCCTGTCTAAACTCAAGAGGAAGACAGGTGATTAGTTTTGAGCAGTGATTTTTTTTTTTTTTGGCTATGCCGTGCAGCCTGGGAAGTCTTGGTTCTCTGACCAGGGATCACACCTGTGCTCCCTGCATTGGGAAACTGGAGTCCTAACCGCTACACCACCTGAAAAATCCCAGTGATTTTTTTAAAGTCAAGAATACTATAATGGCTAGTAGTATAATAATAGTTACTATAATATGTGTTAAGGTCTTGTGTGCCAAGGCACTACATTAGATGCTTTTCCTGCATTATCTAAGAATAGCAAGCAGACTTTTTGGAGATGAGGAGACGGAGTCTTAGAAAGGGTTGGTGCCATGTCCGTAGGGACACAGAGTCATGGAGGCAAGGTTTAAACCCTGGCAGCCCGTTGTGCAGGTCCGTGTTCCTAACCACTGGGGCGCACTGCTGCCCAGCTATGTGCCACTGAGAGGATTCCTAGAAAGCTGATTCCAAAGCTGTGAACAAAACACAGCACCTGCTCGCTTCCCCAAATGGCGGCAGGAGGAGGGGACACTCGCTGCGGCGAGTGGCCTGGCCGGCTGTGCGGGTGTGTGAGCAGCAGGACTGCAGTTACACTTGGCAAAATGAAAGAGTTGCCGTTCTGCTGTTCCATGCCAAGCCGCTTGCACAGTTGTTCTGGTTCTCCCCTGACCAGTCCCTCCACCCCGCATGGGGTAGCCACCCCGTCACAGTAGAGATGTCTTCAGTTTGTGGACCTGGTACCCAAGGCGGTTGTCTGCAGCTGCCCTGGCTGGTGGCTGAGCAGCGCTGGGGACGGTGGACTCGAAGCTTCTCTCGGTCCATCCCTCCAGCATCCCCTAGCTGCAGGACTGCTTCAGCATGTATTTTAAAGGGCAGATGATGATCTCTCTTCCCTCGTGTATTTACTTTTTATACATCTGAATAAATAAGGTAAAGGCTTTCAAGACTTCTGTGGACTTTCTTTTAAAAATAAATTTGGAGTTTATTAACTTGAAGCCTCGTAGGTTGAAGGAAGCAACGGAATGCAGATGAATTCTGACGTGTCGGGCCTCAGAACATGCAGGGACACTGCCACATAAAGTCAAGGACTGGACTGAAGTCTTAATATGTAAATGTATTACTTTCCGTTTGCTGTGCACCCCTGAATAAGTTACTTTAACTGTTATGTCTGGTTCCCAAATAGTAAAGCACTTGCTTTTATGTTAATCAGTTTATTTGTATAAAATTAGATGTAAGGCTGGCCTTTAAAAAAAATTTTTAATGGAGTATACTTGCTTTACAATGTTATATTAATTTCTGCCATACAACAAAGTCAGTCAGCTACATGTATATATATCTCCCCTCTTTTTTGGGTTTCCTTCCCATTTATGTCACCACGGGGCATTGAGTAGAGTTCCCTGCGCTGTACAGAATGTTCTCATTATTTATGTCTCATATGTAGTATCAGTAGTGTGGGCTTTCCTGATGCCTCAGTGGTAAGGAATCCGCTTGCCAATGCAGGAGACATGGGTTTGATCCCTGGCTCAGGAAGATCCCCTGGAGAAGGAAATGGCAACCCACTCCAGTATTTTTGCCTGGAGAATCCTTACGGACAGAGGAGTCTGTTGGGCTACAGTCCATGCGGTCGCAAAAGAGTTGGACACAACGTAGTGAATAAAAAACAACAGTAACCAATAGTGTAGATATGTTAATTCCAGTCTCCCAATTCACCTCCGCTCCCTGGGTCTGTCATTTACTCTTCTGTTTCCTCATTCGTTCAAACATCAAGTTCCTACTTTAGACCGGGTTTTGTTTTTAAGGAACTGACTTTTCTAGTAATGTAGAATTCATATATCCAACAACTGTTTACTGAGTCTTTGCTCCATGTTTTATTTCTGGAAGATAAAACAAAAAGATAAAAACACCCTTTATGACATCTTAGTTGGGGAGAGAGGATAGATGAATGGATGGTTGGATAGAAGGCATAATAGATCATGCTAAATGCCCTGGGGAAAAAATGAAAATGGAAGAGAGTGTTTAAATGAAGGGGTGGTGTTACTCTGTTCTACGGAGTTAACAAAGAAACTGAAATCATGGCATCCGGTCCCCTCACTTCATGGCAAATAGATGGGGAAACAGTGGAAACAGTGGCAGAGTTTATTTTTTGGGGCTCCAAAATCACTGCAGATGGTGATTGCAGCCATGAAATTAAAAGACACTTGCTCCTTGGAAGAAAAGTTATGACCAACCTAGACAGCATATTAAAAGGCAGAGACATTACTTTGCCAACAAAGGTCCATCTAGTCAAGGCTGTGGTTTTTCTAGTAGTCATGTATGGATGTGAGAACTGGACTCTAAAGAAAGCTGAGCTCCGAAGAATGGATGCTTTTGTACTGTGGTGTTGGAGA